TCTAGAAATACACTTTTAAAATGTGGTGACATTGTGGAGTTTACAAGTGATAGTTCAATGTCTGTATATTTTATTTTTGTGAGTCTTTTTGTTTCAGCTTAATTTGATATGGGTCAAAGTACAGAATGTCTCAGTGATAGAAAGACTAAAGAATAATTAGATATTTAGGAGTCCTAAATAAAAAAAAAATACTTAAGTGCATTTAGGAAAACAGTATTTTTCAAGTGTGATACTTCTTTCTATTATGAAAGGCCACAAAAATGCAAATGGACATGACATTCAAGAGTTGAAGAAATTTATAAGTAAAGCTTTCCCTGGCTCACTGTAATTTTCTTACTGACTGGGAGTGTCAATTAGCTCAATCAGAGATTGCTGATAATGTCAGCTGTCACTCATTCATAGTGATGTGTGAAGTCCACAGGTACCGTGGACTGCTTGAGTGATGAATGAAATAATGAGGGCATGGAAGCCTGAACAAAATCCTCCATTTCTATAAATTCTTTTTCACATGGGGAGTTAAGATAAAGAAAGAAAACCCTGATTAAAATCTATTTTAATGAGGTTTATTTTTAAAAGTTTGACCTTAAAACATTAAAGTTTTAACCTTATCTTTTAAAAAATTAATGTAAATGGCCAATGATTAATTATCATCATTTCCTAACATGTTTTGTCAGTGAGAGCAAGACTAACTATTCTAAGATAAGTCCCCAAATTGATATTGAATTCAATCTTAAATCAAACTTAAAACTTTTGTCAACAGACTTGCTGAGTCTCTGAAATATCTAAACTAATCAGGCCTTGTTTTGTGTATCTCTGAATAAAGTAGTTTTCTGTCTTTAAAGAAACACATTTCTTATTAGTGTTTTATTGTATATTTTATATCATTGTTACTAGAGTTAATGGAATATTTTTATTTTATAACTTTATGTCATTCATTGTATATGTGAAGTTCACTCATTATTATTAATCATCTGTAGTAATATGGTCTATTTACAGATCCTTTCTCCTTTTGATTTCATATTATCTACAATTAATGACAATTGGATGCCCCCATTCCAATAGTTTTATCACTTACTTATTTACCATAATAGCTTCTTCATATTTCTACTTAAGTGTTTATCAATGATATGGTCTTTCATTTATGTTGTTTTCTTATAGAAATTGGAGTCTTTGGAGTGGAACAAATATATTCTACTTATATTTGTGACCTGGCAATTAAGATAGTGCCTGACACAGAGTAGAGAAGTGTTGAGTGTAGGCCTGAGTGAATAATTTTGAACTTGTTCAGAAATTGCTTGGGATAATTCTCATGAATGCTGGTTCAATGGAAGGCTAAGAACAAGATAGAAAAGCAGTCTCCTGTCAAGTGGCATGGGTACAGGGCCTGGATACCCAATAGACTCATGTGGAAAGAGTCTCAGTACATAGCTTGGTTTATTCATAGGGAGAGATGCATGCAATCCCTAGATGATATATTACTGAATCAGAGAAATTGATACCCATCAGGTCCTCCATTCTTTGCATATAAAGAGCAAGACAAGATTTAATTCCAACTGGCTCATGAAGCAAGAAATTCTATTATCACTGATGCTGAGACACATCAAGATAGCCAATTGTGAAGCAGATATAGCACTGGGATTCTGACAAGTAGGAACACACTGAAATCAAGTTTGCTTCAATCAGTATCCTAGGAGAATATTAAATGTATAATTTGGTTAATATAGAATTATTTTACAATAAATAGGTATGAAATGATTCAAAATGAATCTACTAAGTAGTTGGAATTAACATGTGTCATTGACTACAAAAATAATAAAAATAGAAACAGTAATAGCTAATGTTTATTAAAAATTTACTAGGCTCTAGTCATAATGATGAGTACTTTACAGAAGTTATCTCACTCAATTCTTATAGTAGCCTATGGAACAGGTGTAATTTTGTTTATAAAATGTATAAGGGCTTAGCTTTATTTTATAGTATTAAAATTACTGTGCAGTTCTTTTCATTTTTAGAAGGTAACTCCAAAGGAAAGGTATTTATATGCCTTTAGGTATTAAACTAGAAAATAAAACCTTGATTCCATTTTTTTGGTTATAATTTACAGAAAGGAAAATATAACTATGAAAATTTGTTAAATAGCTTGACCAATTTCATTAAAACTAAATTGCTAAAAAAAGCCATGATTTTCAACTCTGACTTTTATTTCATATAGGGGGCTTTAAAATAATGCTTGTGTCAGAGCCTCACTCTCAGAAATTATTACATTCAATTGGTTTCGGGTGGGACCAGTGATTGTGGAATTTTTTAAAAAGTTTCCCAGTGATTTCAAATACGTAGTCAGAGTTGAGAACTACTAAATTTCAAAGCATACTACTGAGAGCTGAGTGTGCCTTCCCATTGTACCTTGTCAATACAAAGAAATGGTAATGGTTATGTAGCTTGAAAGAATGGTTTTATGACTCATTTTTCTTCCTGTCTTTTATGCATTGTCCTTATTTATGTATTCTACATTTACCTCACTGATGCTGCTTACCTTTCAATGACTGATATCTCTTGGAGTATTGCAGCATATTGGCTGGATAACATGAGTTTTATGTTTTGGTTTTGCAAATGCATCTATATAGGATTATATAGGATTAATATTACCAGGAAACTGCAGCTCTTATTGGAAACCCATTTTAAATAGTTATTCAGTTATTATTATATTTTCTTATCTTCTTCTGAGCTAGAAACATGGGCAATAGCACCTAGCTGGTTGGGTTTAATTAAATACCTGGATTTATTTGTTTATATAATAATTTTCTTAGCAAAGCTAATAAAATTGATGTAGGTAATAAGTTTATGATTGGAGATATTTATATACAGTCAAAAATTATATAAGCCTGGACTTTGATCTACTTTGCTATATTTTTTTACTTATACCCTCCCTCCATTTCAAGCCCCAGTGGCATCATTAAAATGATTTTTAAAATGTAATATTACCACAACAGTAAAACAAAGGGTCAAAAGACATAAAAATGTAGTTCAGAAAAAATTAAGTACAGGAACAAAAAGAGAAATACATAAGAAGTGTAACCTAAACAATTAATTTAAAAATGTAAATGAAATAGTTTTATATGTGAATTATTTTTTTTCATGGACTTTTCACCTCATAGATACAGTTTATTTTATCATTTTTGATAAATATCAATTATCATTCATATAGTTATTGTATTTTGTATTCTTCTCCTAGAATGCAAACTCCACATGGAAGTTAATTTTATCTATTTTGTTTTGTTCTGTAGTATAAGAACTGAAACTTGTTCCTATCACAAAATATAGACTTAATAATAAATTTTAGCCAAAAGAAATAATTGTTGAACAAATGTAAAATATATATATATATATATATATATATATATATATATATATAATTTTTTTTTGAGAAAAATATTTCTGTGGAGATTCTGCATGTTTTATACATCCTATGGTGCATATGGTACATTAAAATTTTTGATAATCATGGTTGTATCATTTTGATTATATATATATATATTGTGTGTGTGTACTATTAACAAAAATGTGGTAGTGAATTGCAGGCAGTGCTATGTGACTGGCAGAAGTATAATTTAAACAGCATTTGTGCAAAGCAGTCTATGAAGAGGTATTATGTTTTTGTCAAATATTTATTTTATTTGAATTATTTATTTGCATTTCTAGAACTCTTCTTTAAGGAAATAATCAGTGAAGTAGAGATTTATAGAACGAAAGCTCTTTATAATGTTGATAACCATAAAAGAGACAAAAGTAGTTGAATATTACATAAAATAAGGCACTTAGCATTCTTTCAAAACAGGCTCAATGATGTGAAAATGCAGTCATACAGTGGTAGATGAAAACTAGATGATGAATAATTGAGCATCAACCCAACTTTGTAAAAAATGAGAGAAAGAAAGGAAACAAATTAAGTAATTAAACCAAAATGTTAATAGTAATTATATCTCAGTGGTGAGACTAAGATTGCATTAATTTGCTTCTTTGTAGTATCATGAAATGCACAAAATTTCTATATGAATATGTATTACTTTGTTAATCAGAAAAATGTTATTTCACTTTTGAAAATCAACTTTATCATTTTTCCAGCTCTGAGAGTATATTAAAGAATTCATTAGAATGTAACCTCTGTGAGGGCAAGACTTGTTCATCTGCTTTGCTCATTCATGCATGTCTCATGCCTAGAATATTGTTTGGGATAAAGTGGTACTTCTAAATGGTTTTTGAATAAATGAATGATGGAAATTGAATATATGCCTCCATCTGTAAAGTCAGTTTTAAAGAGTTAAGTGAAATAGAAGAGAATTGATTACTTCCTTTTGTGTATATGTGGACTTGAGCAATTCATCCATCCATCATTAGTATTGAGTACCTGTGCATAGCATGTCTTCTTTCCACATGTGAGGGACTCCTTTCTCATAGACTAAGTTACCCCTGGAGTTTGCTTGGTGGGGAAAGAGGTTACCCACAAATGGCAGACATGAATTTTAATGTATGTGATTTAAAAGGATTACGACAGAGGTCTTTTACCGTCAGCATGTGCCATTATAGTAATCCTGTTTCCTGGGATTTTGAGAGGAAAACCACAGTTAATCTGTAAACAAGCACTGTTTTGTTGCCCTGTGCAAGTACTTTTGGACGTTTCTCTTGGGGATGGAAAGCTCGTTGAAAAATGACAATTAACAATAATATAAGACAATGTTATTTTGTATTTCATTGGAATTCACCAAGGATGTGTTTTAAAGTAATTTTTAACTTGTAACATGCAGTGTAGAATTAAAATTGCTTATGTGCATGTCACGTGTCTTTCTTTCATATTTTTTTTTCAAAATGAAAGTAGAAAACAGAGGACTGAAGAGTCAGAGGAGAATAAAATATTTATGTTTTAATTTAATATTAAATAAGAAAGATTATCAATATGTATAGTGATTTGGAAATTTGAAAAAAGCTCTTCATTTTTTTTCTAGGATTCAGAATTTCCCATCAATATACAACCAAATCCAAACTTGAATTTATGTAAAGAAAATCTTCCTCCAGCAAAATTTGACTACAAGCTGAGTAACATTTTTAGACTTCATGAACTTCCAGTGAGCTGGTAGGATTCTTGATGTTTTATTAATAATGCTTTTGAGATTTTGTTGTTATGTCTGAATTGTGGGACTCTGGTTTACTCTTAGCCTGTTTCCAAATTTCTAGTCACAGCACTAAAAGAATCTGCTTATAACTGCTACAATAATCTTAAAATTAATTGGTTTAGGCACTTGGTGGCAGTATAGACTAAGTACACTATTACGTATTATTATTTTAGAGGTTAGAGTTCTGGCTTAAAATAATGCACAAATCATTTTTAGAGAAGTTTCTAGGATTATTTTAGAGATGGGATCTCAGCAACTATTATGATTGTACTTCTTCCCTGTCAATATATCCTTTTCAGTTTTTTTTTTTTTTTGAGGACCATAATTACATGAGCTAAAATAATACTGGCTTAAAAACAAAACTTATTACTTGACATTTATTAAAATATATTGTTTTATGAATATGTATATATATAAATGGAAACTAATATATAAAATGAAACTTATAAAAGTCACAGTTGTATTATTCAGATTTTTTGAGAAAAATATTTCTGTGGAGATTCTGCATGTTTTATACATCCTATGGTACATTAAAATTTTTGATAATCATGGTTGTATCATTTTGATTATGACTTAGGTAATAACATTATTTTCTTATATTTGGTCTTATAATTAAAAGTACATATAATTATTCTTCAAAGAAATCTATAATTTATACAAAAGTACTCAGAAAAATTTTCATAGTTTCCTCCACTTTGATCTTCTGTTATGTGTAATGTACTTCCTAAACCCTAATTGTTTGACTAGTTCCTAGTAGCAAGAATATTGTCTTTGATTTATTATTTTCTTCTTATTAATAATGCATTCTTTCAATATCTTCAGTTTGGTCAAACAGATTTTCAAAGTATATATGCATTTGATCTCAGTTTATGCATTTGATTTCCTAGAGTAAGCTATACAGATATTCCTCTTTTACCTTCTAAAATTTGAAATACTCTTTCTTAGTAGTATGCCTTCTTCCATTCATAATATTTTTATCTTTCCTAATTTTTCATATTTTTAAGGAGCATAACAGAATCTTAGTTGCCATGACCAAAATCAGTAGGTTAATGAATACATAAAGGGAAACATAAAATAATAAACACGTGTTAATGTTCTAACTTCAGACAGGTGTATATGCATACACATGCCAGTGTTTTGATGTAAGGTCATGACTTTTTCTTAAATTGTCTGTTCATTGGTATTCTGCACTGTATTTCTTACATAAGTTATGCCAACAATGTTTCATCTATGTTTTTAATTTGTTATTTCTTCAATCTAAAATAAGAACTTCAGGCATTTGGAAGATGCTCTTACCACCTTTTATAACATTAATTATTGACAATGATTGTATCATTGTATCATTTCATCACCTTAATTAATATTTAATTACATTACAGTGGGAAACACAACAGGTTTATAACAGGTTTAATAACAAACTGCTTTGACTGTTGCAGTCAGGGACTTTGGCTGATGGGAGCAGGTGCTTATTTACTTGAATATGATTGGAGAGCTCTGAGTGGTTGGAGTGTAGCTTAGAAGCACAACTTGTGTGTTTCACAGCAAGAATAGGAAAACTTGGTCAGTCTGGCAATTTAGTGGAGGTTAAAGGAAAAACTTTTGTCAAATAAAAATGTGGAGAAGAGGAGGAAGGAAACATTTAGTTCTTAGTCAAAGATAAAATCTGGATTTCCAGCCTCTGGAAATATAGCTGCCCTGATGACAGCTACTGCAATACAGGGAATAATTTCTGTCATAATCTTTACTAGCTGGCTTATCAGTAGAGCAGGATCTAGCTTTATGAGTTAGGAAGCAGAAAAATGAAACATCAGTGGAAAGGATATATGCTATCTAATCTCTTAGGATAACATACCTGCAAAGAAAAGTATGGAAAAGTTGTCACTTTGGAACAAGTCATTTACCTGTTTTTTTCTTTTTCTTTTTTTTTTTTTACCTGTCTGCTTCATTTTCAACATGTCTCTGCATCTGTACACCACCATGTCTTCTTTGCTATGTGTTTATGTGTCTTCTACCTATTTTGTTCTACCACTTCCTTCTCTTCATTCTCATTCTATACTATCAATCCTTAGTAGTAGTAATATAAAATTCGATTTAAAACTCTTAATATTTCTCAAAAGTTTTCAAAGTCTCTTTTCTTAATTTTAAAATCAAATTACGTCCCTGCCATACACAGAAAAAACAGTCTCTGTACTAAGTAGATCTTAAATGAAGTGTTTATTGACTAAGTTATATGCTTCTTGAGGGAAGAAAAAAGCTTTGTTAAAAAATGACCATCAATTTATTTATTTATTTATTTATTTTGGATTGGCAATTACCTTCAGTGAAAAGAAAGTTCTTCAACTATGGTATATAGCTTTCTTAATTTGTAAAATATAGTAATAGTAATGACAATAATAGTGAACGGAATATCAATAATAAGAATGTTTACTAAGCACCTATAAATGCCAAGATTCATCTGCTTTAGACACACTATCTCCGACCTTCATGTCACTAAGGCAGTTATTGTTCCTTTATCTCTCTGTCACACTACACACTCACACACATACACACACAGCTCAGACACCTTGAGAATCACAGAAAAAAATTTGTATCAGATCTGGTTAACTCAAAAAACTCAAATGCAACAAGTGAACCACACATTATTTTAAAGAAAAATTCTAAGGACATAATCTCTATTTTTGTAGTTCGACATACAATTTACCAGTAATTTACAACTATATGACTCATGATTTAGGCCAAAATCCTTTTCCTTATGATAGATAAATAAGCATGGCCTAGGATAACTGCTTTAAATTAGATTGTGTTTAAGTATATAATTTGCTAATTATGTATTCTTCCTCTGGAAAAACAGATTTATCAAAATGTATGTTTTACTATGTTTTTCAAACAAGGTCATCATAAAATAAATGCATATTAAAATCCAGATAATTTAAAAATTCTTAATGTCTTATTAATTTGCATTTTTATAGAGTGCAATTTCATAGGTCAAAGAACCAGAAGGATTTTAAATTAAATTAGTTAAAAGAGAATTTTAAAGTTCTAATTTAGGTAGGTGTCTATTACTCTTATAGAATGGTTCCCTTCAGCCTAGAAAATGTGCTTCAGCAACTTCCATTAGTTAAAAAACAATTTCCTTTCTTGTCCAGAGAACTCCCCACCGTGTCTGTGCTCTTTCCTTAGGCCCCACTGTTTTTCACTGAAAAGTTTGGCAAAGAGCTGGCCAAACTCACAGGTACTTGCTCTTCCCATTCTCCCCAGCAATGGAGTTCCTTCCTCCCTTCCCTCTCCTTTGAAAGGAGACCGCTCTTGTTAGAGTTATCAGCCAATTCCCATGTCCACCACCAGAAACATTTATAGATTCTACTTTTCTTTACTCCTCATCTTCTGTTTGCTCTTCTGACTCCTTGTTTTCATGCTGACTCCCACACTCGTCCCTCTCAGCATCTTCAGTTACTACTCCTCTTGGGTTAGGTTTCTGGATAATAGACAGCTCCTGGACTCTAGCTCCCACACCTACATTTTCTCTCTTGGCCTCATTCTTTCTCCAGTTTTAAGTACTCTCCATGTGGTGATAACTTTACCCTTGGCATTTCCCCTGAGCTTGAATATCTAATAGGCTTCTCCAAGTTGTCATGTCTAAAAAAGAACTTTTGTTCTCCAGAAAACTTGGTCTTCTCTGAATACTTCCCATTTTTTCAAAAGCACCACCCTGTACAAACTATGTCAAGGAAAACCCTAGAACTCTTTTTGATTTCTAAAGTCCTTGCCCTCCATTTTCATCATTAGATCTCTCAGTGAGCGAGCCTTAATTTATGTGGGGAAGACTAATGGAGGGGCAAGTTTGGACTGGGACTGGACTTGTTAAGTTTAGATGACTATTAAACTCCCAAATATACTGAGATGTGGATGGGATACCTGACTGTGCAGCAAGCAAACTGCACGAACACTGATAACGGGCAAGTAGCCAGGTTCCTGTCCCTACTATTCCAGGCACTTCCACAGAAACAGACACTAGAAATAAAGTGCCAAAGTAGCTTTTAGTGTGAAAGAATTGGCATTGTAGAAATGTAATTTTTAAACATTGGTCAGTCTAAAGCTTATTTGTTGTTTTCCTTGTAAATTATATGTTTTCATGTGATTAAAAGTCATATTTAAATTGTGAATTTTGAAATGAAGTATTATCTTTACATGTATTTATACTCCAGAATTTATATTTCTAATAAAATGATATTATGTATAATTTTTAGAATATTTATATCTCCTTAAAACAAGCAGGCAATGTAGAACAAAGTAGGCATTTAAATTTTGAATTGTCAAAGGGAAAGAGCTTACAGTTCCTTGAAGCTTCAAGAACATTTTCTGTAGAAGGATAATAGTTACATGCAGTTTTAAATAATTATAATCATTGTTAAGTAGTGTACAAAATAACTTAAAACATTTTCTATAACATAAAGATATATTCTACCCATTTTATAATTTACTATCAAAGTACTAAGGTATTCTGTTAGCTTCCATTATATAAAGATACAGTAATATTTATGCCATTAACTTTTAAGAAGTGGGATGTGCATGAATTTATGGTAAAGGTAAACATTCATTTTAATGAGCTATTTATTTTGGGGGGTGTGTTCCATGAATAAACACATCATCTAATTAGTAGATTAGATTTTCCATTTATTTCAGATTGTCTTTAGTGTCCTTGAGTGTATCTTTCTTCAACTTTAAATTTGTTTAGATACTTTAGGTTTGTTGAGCAGCTGTCATCTTCCAGAAGGTGTTCTGATTTGTTTTTAGTCAACTTACTGCTAAAATTATGGAAGGGCTTTTACATTGGTCACAGATGATGCGTAAAGCATTTTCAATTCCCGTGTTTCATTGACTCAGTGAGAGACCGACAGTTGCCCTTCTGGGGCTATAACCATTTTTCATTCTCTTTTAATTATCTAGATCCATAGTAATA